GTGTAAGACTGTTCGATAACAGTATATATTGATACTATAATTGATTTAACGTACGCCTATATGTAATAGACCGCTTCTCCAAGCACCAAACCCAAAACACAATTTGTACAATTAGTTCCTTGCCCTGAGGACCCAGATGTTTTAATTCAACCTTTACAAGCTTACGGGCGTATAGATGAAACTAAATATAAGGATATCGACTTTACAGTGCCACGTGTAGGTACTAAGAAAACAGTAACACCGCGAAAGTATTACACTAATTTAAATGATTCTGATTTTGAATTTGTCAAACACTCAAAGAAATAATAATTCAATATGAGCATTGGACAGTAGCATCTTTTTAGTGAGGAATTGAAATTCATTTTTCATTTTTTACTGAATAAATTTGGAATTGAATAATGGTTAATGACTTTACGCGACGTTGTAATATATTATATATTACAATTTCCAAATTAAAAGACTGAATATATTAGAGAAATTGACTATAATAAAGAAATTATATTGTTTCAAAAGAAACTATTTTTAAAAATTTTATATAAATGCTGAAGTCCATGAAATCGGAATGCAATATCTTCATCCGTATAATCCAAACATTAATTTTTATGATTACAAGAATATTATACTTTACGAAAATTGTATTTTACGTATGTGAGCTAAAATAGTCTGACTCTAGTATAACAGAGCTTTCCAAACTTTTACAAAGCTTGAATTTGAAGCTTAGAGATGCTAATTCAATGGAGAAACGTAATCTTCGTTGAAAACATCACAAATTTTTACCGAAAAGTGAAATCATGCATTTGTCCGTTTCTCGTATACGGGTGACAGAAAAAATGCGGCATATAAGAATTTAAAACAAAGCAAACAAGAAAATTAAATCATCGTCGTAACAAATAATAACGTACTGATATAAATTACTTTTTTCAAAAATGAAACACTTCTCTGACTCATTCTATTTTACCCAAATTCCAATAGTTACCTTGATGATAGACATCTTATTATACAATAAAAACAATAAAAACGTTACAACTACTTTTAATTGTAATCGCCGTATAATTATAATTGCGCAAGTGTAGTAAATTTTATAACACTTATTTTTTGTTACTACAGATCATATGTATTCATTTCCTTCGAATAATTGAAACTGTAAAAATATATTTTTCCTATGAAAACTACATGTTACATTTCCTTCCTAAATTCAGAGAGCAAGAGTTTTTGACATCAAGTAAATATTTCCATTTCGTGATTGTCGTGCAGTGTAGCAACATCTGACAGACTTGCAAGATATAAACAAATACTTAATTATGAAATACATACTGCGGTAAACAATATTTTCACTGTATTTCATTAAATATTTCTTTTAATATTCTGTATAAAAATATACTGTTACATTGATTTTCGAATCCTTTTATGCAAAATAGACGAAAATTCTTTCATGGATTTACATTTCTGTCTAAGATCAATCTTGAGTTTACAGGATTTGTACATCTAATTGAGCAAAAGTAACAATCAAACGGTATTGTAGCATTTCCTGATGACTTTATATTACTAGCTATTGCGTTCAAGGAGAAGTCCACAAATTTTCTTGCATAATATTGAAAACAGGCATCACCACAAATACAATACTTAGCGTTATCTAAATATTTAACCAACGTGTACGGAATAATACTTGCATCATACGGGCATCTGTAACAATGATATAAGACGTAGAATGTAATGCAAAAATTTTCCGTTGGAAAATACATGCAAATACATTGTGTCTATAATTTTTACATATAATTTGTATATAAACAGTTCATGCTTTTTATGCATATATGTAATCAAAAATTATATATCATACGAACCTTGTTTTAAGGAATGATCTAGCTGCGTATTCGGTTAAACTAACTATATCAGATTGGAGTTTAACATCAAAAATCAGATTTTTAAATGCGTTGTTTGATATATCCAATGAAACGAGACGTAGATTTCTCATACTCCCAGGCAAGCAATATAAATTATTTTTCGATATATCCAAATACCTCAAATTAAATAATTTTCCAATGCTGTGTGGTAAATACGACAACACATTTTGACTCGCTTTTAAATTAACAAGAGCACCAAGTTTGCCAATTTGTTCAGGCAATTTGTCTAACTATATTACGAAAAGTAGTATATCAATTCCAATAGCTGTAAAATATTTGAATCTGTTTGTTATAAGATATAAAAGTGCCATACCATATTATTACTTATATCCAGTAATTTTAAATTAAATTTCATGGCAGTTTCATCTAGCCATGCCCACTTTACAGCTTTATTCAGTCGATTTTGTGATAAAATGAGTTCCTGCAAATGTTGCAAAGTGCCTAATTCCTTTGGTAAAGACGAAATTTGATTATTAGACAAATTCAATATCCTTAGGCTTTGGAGCTTCAAAATTTGTCTATCAAATGATTTCCTGTTCAATCCTGGTAGATGTAATTCTTCTGTCGTTCTCGGAAAACCTTCCAAGATTGGATATTCAGTAGGTTTACTAACTGTTACTTTAGTCTTTCCAATAGAATTCATACATTTTGGGTTTAAATTTGAAACAGATAGAACTGACGGATCAATCTTCTTGGTTATTCCAAGTTTTAAAATATGAATGAAACTTTTTAATTGAATTGTGTCGGCTTGTATTATTAAATCATGTGGTGGTTCTATGAACCGAATTGTTGCCTTTCCTTCATTGATGAATTTTATAAATATTTGGCTTATATTATTATCAACCTAAAGAAACAAGTCTTACAATTAGCATGTTATGTATATGACACATAATATAATATTGATCATTTTTACTAAAAATGTATATAGTTTTAAGAATATATGTACCTTGTACTTAGTACCCTGCTTATTTTGAAATGTTTGCCAAAGAATATGGAGCTCTGTATTTTTTGTCGTCTGCCTGCCAATTGCCAAAATGGAACGTTGAGATTTTCTTCTTACTATATTTGTTGAAGATACCCTATTACCGATTTCCACGTTACACTGAAGTTTCATCTTAAATGAAGTTTAGAGGCATCTTACTGTAATAAATAATAATTATTATTAGCATCTTCAACTCTAATTTCATGGTGCAACACGGTTGGTAAGTTACAAATAATACCACGTAACAAATATCCTCCCGCGCGAACTTTAACACTATGTGTTTCAAAATTAATAAATATAGATGTACAAGGTATTGGAATAAATGATGCACTTTTCCTCATAATCAGAGAAGCAGTACATACACACCCATGAAATCTACATCATGAACGAACATAGGGCGCTGTGTAACCATTGTGGCCTTTGAAAATGAAGAGGAAACATTTGCTATTTTTTCTTGAGAGACTGAGGGATGAGATGTTGTGTCGGCACGTCGGTAGGATGAGGACACGTTGGCGCATGTGTATTACGTAGGTACAATTCAAAAGATATGTCCGTAAATTACCTTTTACAAGTCCGGTATTGAAAATACACAAATGACCGATAATATCGTAATAGTAAACGTAATCTTTACAATCCGTCGTTGGAATCATTATGTTAGTGTTTATGATAATAATTGAGAAATGATTCGAAAAGCAAGAAAATTTTGGCGATACCCGTTAGTCGTTCATAGGCGGGAAAATAATATAAACATTGAAATCGAAACGCCTGGAAATGATTGAAGTAAAAAAAATGCTACAGTACTTAAATGGCATGCTTACTTTGATCACAATATTCGAGATCATTATTTAGTGCTCTTAATTTATTTATTTATATTAATTTTATATAAGTTTGAACTATGTAAGTACTCACTTTATATCAATAGAAAAGCCATGTAGTATGGTACGTGTATAAATATATGAATATATATAAAACATAATTATTTAGAAAAGAAACTTTGAAAAGACATGAAGCAAACGAACGTGTTATTATAACTATATAAGTTTTATTACTTTTGCATTTAGTAGTATGAAGCGCATAGCAGATAGACAACATAAATATTATAATTTTACTTTTATCTAATATGTAATATTTATGCCTTATTCGACAGAATTAGGAGAGCATTCAATTTTCGTCGAAATCAGGCTAATATAACTACGTACAACGTTGTTCTTGTGGTCCTTTTACTGTAGAAATATATTTCAAGTTTTCAGAACATCAAATCACCATGCCAAGAATTCCTGGTCGTGTTCGACGAAGTAGACGAAGATCAACCATAGCAGATACGACAGCTACATTCAATGCTGAACAACAAAACGAAGAAGCACATTCGAGTTCTAGTGGAGTAAGTAAGGAAGATCTAGAAGAGCGTCCCGCAAAAAGGGCTAAACATCGGCATGTTGAATCTGACAAGACATCTGAAAAAATAGTATATAATAAAACAGAAAGGTGTAATATTTGTCGCCAAAAGATAGACGACTATATTAAAATATATGAAGGACCTCCAAATAATGCTTCGGAGGAAATGCTCGCTTTAACAGATGACAAATTATCCATAGATTCACAAGATGACTTCCCTCAACACAAATTAACTCATTTCAGGTAGGATCCACTTGTTTCATAAATATAATAATAAATTTCAGGTCTTACTACAGGAACTATTATAAAGTTATTATTTATTTCCAGTGTTTTCGATCGTAACAGTCATTTGTGTCCTTTTGATACGGGACTTGTAGATGAAAATGTACAGCTATTTTTTTCTGGATATATAAAACCTGTTTATGAAGATGACGCTTCACCAGAAGGTGGAGTACCAGCAGAAATGATGGGTCCAATAGCCGAGTGGTACATAGCTGGTTTCGATGGTGGAGATCTGGCTCTTGTGTATATTAAGTCACCATATGCCGAATATATTCTAATGGAGCCATCCGCCGAATATGCTCCTATCTTTAAGGCCTTGAAAGCAAAGTCATATTTGAGTAAATACATTATAGAATTTCTCTTAGATGAAACTGAACCCACCTACGAGGACTTGATCAACAAACTTGAAGTAATTTACGTGCGATTACCGAACGATCTTGAAGAAATATTTCGTACTAAAAATATAATAATTTTTTTAGACGATAGTGCCACCCGATAATTTGGAACAATTTACTGAGGAAAGTTTACTAACGCACGCACAGTTCATATGTGATCGAGTATTGTCTTTCGATGCTGATGCTGAAGAGGAAGACACTCTTTTTATTACAACACCCTGCATGAGATCATTAGTGGATCTTGCAGGTGTCACTCTAGGAAGAAAGAACGCCCTTCGTGAAATTAGAGCCAGAAGGTCGCAACGAAATAACCAACAGACTTGGACGAAAGCAACTACTACACGATTAGTTAATGACGTGTTTGAACATGTATTTTCTGATCAGTTAATAGAACATGATAATGAAATAAGTAAGGTAAGAATTCCTAAATATTAATATTTATCTTGTTATACAAGCAGATTGTTGTATAAACAGATTTGATATAAGTTTAAACTCATCTGCTTTTTGTGCCTTAAGAAACATAAAATGAGGTGTGGAGTATGTGGACATTGCGAAAGTCCTGACTGTGGAGAGTGTGCAGCATGCAAGGCTATGGTCAAATTCGGAGGGACTGGAAAATCCAAACAGGCATGCACTCGTAGACGCTGCCCAAACATGGCTATTAAGGTGACTGTCGTTTTCTGTTATACAAGTATATAACATTATTTCAATTCCTGTATGCTGTTAAATTTAGCTCGCAAATGAGTCTGATGTAGAAGATGACGATCAGCTCGAAACTATGACGGAAGATATGAGCGCTAGTCGATCGGAAGAAAACAGTGATACAAAAACTGTTAAAGAACTCTCAAAAGATATTGCATGGCTGGGAGAGAAAATCGTTAGCGACAAAAAAAGGACATTTTACACAGGCGTAACAGTCGGTGATGAAATGATAGAAGTAAACGACTGCGTGCTTGTAGAACCGAATGATTCATCTGTTCCACCATATGTTGCTAAAGTAGTTTACCTGTGGGAAACTAACGAGGGCGCGAAAATGTTTCACGCAAATTGGTTCTACAGAGGAAATGAAACTATACTTCAAGAAACATCACATCCTGCAGAGATATTTTTATCTGACCAGTGTAAGGATTTGCCCTTCAGTAGTATTAGATCCAAGTGTACTGTTATTCATAAAAAAGCACCAGAAAATTGGGCTGAACTAGGTAATACTTTTTCTTTTTTAATACAACAGCTCAAATGTGCATATACGTATTTATACTCCCACTATTATTTATAGGCAATACGGACTGGAACGTTGAGGATGAAAAGAAATACAAGGATGGTAAAACATTCTTTTATCAGAAACGCTATTTGTTTGAGACATGCAGATTTGAAGATCCTTTACCTGAACTAGAGTGTACTTCTACGATTAGTAGTCATTGTTTCTGTGCCGTATGTGCCCGCGTAAAGGAATTAGATGAATTCAACACACCGAAGGTATCGCAATCATACCGATTTTTGAGCCACCTTTAGTAACTGAAATGTCTCAATAATATTGTGGTTTTCCAATATCATTCGTATTGTAAAGTAAATTAATGGAATGAGTATGACACATTAAAAACTTTAGAATAACGTAACGACATCCATATTTTGTTCTTGTTTCAAGGTGTCCGAACGAAAAGAAGAAAAATGTAACATGGTCACTTACGGTCTTGTACAATATAAGGGAGAAGATTATACAGTCCAATCAGCTGTGTTTTTAAGTCCGAAAGCTTTCAGTTTCAAATATAAACTTAAATATAGTTCCGCGCCAAAAAGAGACGACGTAGATCCAGAACTATATCCTGAATATTATAGAAAACGTAGTGATTATGTCAAAGGTTCAAATTTTGAGCTCCTAGATCCTTTTTGCATAGGATGTATAAGTGAGATATATGCTACTACGAATAAAAAGGAACCCTCACTTGATGATATTTATATAAAAGTAAATAAATTATATAGACCAGAGAACACACACAAGGGAGCTACGTTAGTGAAACAAGAAGACTTGAATAAACTTTATTGGAGTGATGAAGGTATGTTATTAAAATTTCATACAAAAAAACTATTTATGTTTAAAGATGTAACTTACAAAATACAATCTTTCAGTGTGTACTATCAATTTTGGTAATGTTGTTGGAAAGTGCTATCTTGCTTATTCTGAAAACATAACAATCCCAATTGACGATTGGACTGATGCAGGACCATATAGGTTTTACTTTAGTGAAGCTTATGATATAGAACACGAAAAATTTGAGGAACCATGCTCTACTGCAAGGAACCTTGGTAGAAGTACATTAAAGGGAAGCAAGGGGAATGTAAAATTAAAAGGGAATAAATCAAAGATAAGTGAGGAAAAGGAGGATACTAATAAACCTATTGAATACAAAATAATAGGGAGGAAATTACGAACGTTAGATGTATTTTCTGGGTGCGGTGGTATGTAACTGTTGCATTATTAACATACATATTTCATTATTAATCCTTTATTTTTAAGCTTAATGTATTCATAATCGCCTGGTTTGTGAGATGGTATCTGATATTAAATTCTGATAATATATTTATTAACTAATCTTTCTCAAACAGAAGGAATAAAAGTTTCGTGCATTAAAATTAATATTAACTCCCGTGAAAATTAGGCTGTTAACGCGTTGAAACAATGAATTAACGAAAAAAGTACTTATTTGTATTTTATAGGATTATCGGAAGGTTTACATCAATCTGGTATATCTGAAACTCTTTGGGCTATAGAAAAAGAAAAACCAGCTGCTAATGCTTTCCGTCTAAATAACCCTCAGGCAACAGTGTACGAAGAAGATTGTAACATATTACTAAAAAAAGTTATGGATGTGAGTATGATCGCACTTTGTAGTGGAGCTAGAAATAAATTGCTTAGAAACATTCTTGTATCTGGCAACCGTTCAGCACCGACGAGTGTTTTTCTTTCTATCTCTTATTTCGGTGGCAATGTATTCCAAAGGGTCAAAAATTGCCGACTTTTTCGTGCGTCTTAAAGTCCCATAAGACCACTCTTTAGTAATCTCTCCTCGGCGTTATTATATAGCAATAATACATAATTCGATTACATTCTTTATAACTATACATACGTACGATTGTATGTTATTTGCGTAGGGCGAAACAACAGATAAATGGGGTCAAAAACTGCCTCAAAAGGGAGACGTAGAAATATTATGCGGTGGTCCACCATGTCAAGGCTTTAGCGGCATGAATCGTTTCAATAAACGGCAATATTCTTTGTTCAAAAACTCTCTGGTCGTCTCGTTTTTATCGTATTGCGATTATTATAGGCCCAAATTCTTTATTATGGAAAACGTTCACAATTTTCTGAGTTTTAAAAAACATGTGGTTCTAAAATTAACGTTAAGATGTTTAATTCGCATGGGCTACCAATGTGCATTTGAGTCTCTTCAAGCTGGAAATTACGGAGTGCCACAATCGAGACGAAGGTTCATTCTTATTTTTAACATAACGTAAAACTGCTCTCATTTCATCATTCATTATGTTAAGTTTTGTAATTTTACAGAGCGATACTCTTAGCTGCTGCACCTGGGCAAACATTACCTAAATATCCTGAAGCTATGCACGTCTTTCGTAAACATTTCAACATACGTACATATATCGGAAAAAAATACGTAAATAACGTTTTACGTTTGTTTGTATGTATATATATTGAAAAAAGATTTTCATTTATAATTAAATATTGTTGCAGTATGATACAACTCGCACTTGGACATCAGCACCATATAGAACAATTACCGTAAAAGACGCGATATTTGATTTGCCAGAGATTAAAAATGGATGTTCAACGTTAAAAATGCCGTATACAAGTGATCCAGTGTCACACTTTCAAAGAAAAGTAATAACGTGATGTTCCAATTAAATTTGAACTAATTTCATGCATATCTAATAGTTTCGATCAGCTAGAAAATTTGTTACTTGCATAAAACAGGTTTATGCACATTTATTAGCACAGACATTTAAATCTATACTTTCTTTTCCAGATCCGAAGAAAACTAACGGAACCAATGTTAAGAGATCATATATGCAAGACTATGAATCCTCTTATATTAACTAGAATATCTCATATTCCACTTACTGTCGGTGCTGATTGGCGTGATTTGCCAAATATTGCTATCACTTTAGGTACCGGTTACAAGGTTAAAAAATTGTAAGTATAAGACAGTTCTTATAGTACGTACTCATAAATACGAATTTCGTATTATTAGCAATTTTCATTCTAGAGAATACACTCATGATGATAAAAAGATGGGAAGAGCTCCTACAGGAGCACTTCGCGGTGTCTGTAATTGTGCCGAAGGTGACAAATGCGATCCTATGGCCAGACAGTTCGATACCTTAATCCCATGGTGCCTACCACATACTGGGACGCGTCACAATCACTGGGCAGGATTATATGGTAGATTAGAATGGGATGGATTCTTTTCTACAACCGTTACAATTCCTGAGCCTATGGGAAAACAGGTACATAACGCTGCTTCTGGAATTTCAGTATCAAATTCCTTAAAACCGGTTTGTCTACGTCGATGATAAACAGCATTTCGAGTTAGATTGTTTTGATTGGTCCAATGAATTTTTAAATTCTTCAATTAGATTTTACATATATATCATTCAATTCTTTCAGGGACGTGTATTGCATCCAGTGCAAAATCGAGTGGTAAGCGTAAGGGAGTGTGCAAGATCGCAAGGATTTCCCGACTATTATCAATTTCATGGTGAAATAAATGACAAGCACCGACAAATCGGAAACGCAGTCCCTCCACCGCTCGCAGCAGCCATAGGCCATGAGATAAGGAAGTGTATCCGTGACACAGATGTTATACCTAAAATTGAAAGTGAACTCACTGAAGACATTGAAAGGCCTACAACAAGCAGAGAGTATCCATAAAGAGCCCAAGGTAAATTGATCAAAGAAGAGCCTGATACAAGTCAATCGAGGATAGTAAAAGTTGAAAGTGAACTAATCGAAGACCCCGAAAAACCTGGTATATGTCAAAAGAGTTTAGAAAAAGATGAAAATGTACTGATTGAAGATCCCGAAAAAACTGGTACAAGCAAAGGAGTCTAGAAACAGTTGTGTACGATGCTAGATTTTACTTTGAACTGTTTTATATGATTTCACTTCAATCTTTTATCTTTCTATTTGACTGTCATTTTATGATTTTTTAACATGGGACTGTCATTTTACTATTTCTATCATATGACTTGACTGTGGGGTTTCAGTACTTTTTTATTTGATTTGGAAGTTTCAGCATTTTCTTATTTGACTTATTATTGTGTACTTGTGCACTTTAATATTTTTTTAGTTTTCCTTTTACGGACGAATGCTGAACAATACTCAAAATCAGTTCTAATCCGTTAACATCGAAGATAGATTAAAATGTTGTTAAGATCAATCCAGGTTTTTACAATAATAATTCAGAAAATTTTAATGAAAAGTATAACGAAATCGTCATAGAATGTGAATCATACAGTTCGATAATAGTGTTGGCAGTTTTTTCCCGGAGTGGAATCATCAATGAAAAGTCTACCAATTTTTCAGAAGTGACTCCATGTGATATATATGATCATCATATAATCATATAAATTTATAAATAATTATATGTGATAAGTATCGTCATATATAATCATCTGAATTTATGTATGATTGCATGTGCAACGATAATTTGTAATAAGTATAATTAAAGAAAATTCAATTTTTCTATATTCCTATTTATAAATTAATATAACGGTAAGTTTATCATGTTATATATACCAGTTTATAAAATCATCACATTTGTAATGTTATTTTTATTATACTTCCATATTCCAGAAATTTGTAGTGCATCCTAACAAATAACAATATTATGGATATATAATAATTAGGTCGCATTACAAGTTTCTGGAATATGTATGCTTATATATAATAAAATGTTATCTCTGCATGAAATAAATTGTTTTATTACCTAGACTTTATTACGTAAAATATTTATATGTCTAATTAGCATTCACATGAAACCGAATGAATTTTCGTTATTTCAGTACTAAATAATTTATACAAAATTTTGTTCATACAGAACATTTGATCTGTTTCATCAGATTAATCTTGTGCGATAAGATTTTCGATCTGATAAGACGAATATTCTAGTTTCTGATGATGTGTAACATGATCTATTCTTGGTTACTACATTCTAAACATTTTGTGCATCTCAGTAAATGGTAAAATTTTTTTAGACACTTAAATCTATTTTCATTTTACTGGAAATTTTTTACAAAGTGGAAAATATGTATATTTAACTGCTACGAAACACTGAGAGTATTTATCGCTAAGGTTAATCAGAACATCGAAAGGAGGTTGCTAAATTTTAGTATATTCACACTAATTGTGTAAAAATGTTCAATTCCTGAGAAATCTGAAGATTTTCTTAAATGATTCACTATTTATGAAAGTACAACTTTCACTTTTTGACATTTAATGAATACGGTACCTGTGGTGGTAGATGCTGTGTATTTACCTGCAGGCAAACTTGTTCAATTTTAAAGGATAAATTATTAAACAATGGAATCCTTTAAATTAGAAAATATTTTAAACGAAAAATACAATAAAAAGCACGATGGTTATCTTCAATATGGAACAGCCGGCTTTAGAGCAGGGTAAGTACCAACTTTTTTACCAAAATGAGTTTTAAGTATTTTATGAGCATAGGAATTCCGACCTAATAATTAAATGTAAGAAAAATAGAAAAGAAATGGGTAATAATTATACGTGTGCAAATTCTAAAATTTGTTGAGCACAATTCATATAAATCAGTTTTAGACATATATTTAATATACGTAAGATAACTATTTATGTAAGTTACACAAAAGGGCAAATTTAATCTTTTACATATTTAAATATTTTTATTAGGGCAGACCTTCTTGATCATGTTCTCTACAGAATGGGATTGCTAGCAGTTTTAAGGTCTAAAGATAAAAATGGTAAGTTGAAACATGAAAAAATGAAATATATATATTTTCTGTTTTTTAATGTGATTAATGAAATATGATTCTTTAATAGCTGTAATTGGCTTAATGATTACTGCGAGTCATAATGTTGAATCTGATAATGGAGTGAAACTTATAGATCCAGCTGGTGAGATGTTGGAACCAGCTTGGGAACAGATAGTCACTAACTTAGCTAATGTCAATGATTCCAATTTGATTTCGACAATACAACAGATTATAAAAGAACGAAACATCGATATGTCTGTAAATGCAACTGTAATAACTGGTAGAGATACTAGAAGAAGTAGCCCTGCATTATTAAATGCTGCTATCGCAGGGATTCAAGGATTAAATGGTACTGTACAAGATTTCGGTTTAATAACTACTCCTCAATTGCATTACCTTGTTGTATGTATGAATACGAATGGTAGTTATGGAGTGCCTACTTTAAACGGTTATTACGAGAAACTGTCCAAAGCATTTAAACATGTAAGACAGGACAAAATTAACAATGGACAGTACGTCGCGGAATTACAATTAGATGCTGCGAATGGTATAGGAGCTATTGCTGTAAAAGAGTTCCACAATTATTTAGGGACGTCAATTACAATCGACGTATACAATGACGGAGATGGTGAATTAAATTATCTGGTATGAGTTCTTATCAAAATATAATGTATTATAAGAAGAGTGTCGTTTAATCGTATCGCTTTTTATTCTAGTGTGGGGCTGATTACGTCAAAGTGCAACAGCAACCACCTACGAACTTTCCTCTCAAACCAAATGTTAGATGCGTGACCGTGGATGGTGACGCGGACAGAGTGATTTATTTCTATCTCGACGAAAATAATCAATTTCATCTCTTGGACGGTGATCGAATAGCCACGTTGATCGCCGCATATTTCAAAGAACTATTGCAAGAATGTCAGTTATCATTTAAACTTGGTTTGGTACAAACAGCGTATGCCAACGGCGGATCTACAGATTACATTTCAAATGTATTGGTATGTCTGTATTACGAAATTATAGCCTAATTTTCAATAGCAGTTGGGCCATTCGATGCCACTCTTTGCCTTCGATGTCAACAATCTTATATCACATTTTTTTATTGATGTTTTTAGAAAATTCCTGTTGCATGTGCATCAACTGGTATTAAGCATCTACATGGTAAAGCATTAGAATTTGACATCGGAATATATTTTGAAGCTAATGGTCACGGAAGTGTACTTTTCAAAGAATCGGTTGTTCAAACGATTAAACATGCCACCATGAATGCTCAGTAAGTTTCGTTCATTTGTAATTTAAATAACATTGATTTTTATATAATTAGATTTGACCATTTGACATTTAACATAGGGAAGTGATTGAATCTCTAAAGCGTATTTTTTCAATTAATCTTACAGACTACAGGCAAGTGAAAGAGAAGCTGCCTCTAAATTATTAAATATAATAGACGTGATTAACCAGACGGTCGGAGACGCTCTTAGTGATATGTTACTAGTAGAAACAATCTTACACGCGAAAGGTTGGAGCATTATAGAATGGAAAAAAATGTACAAAGATTTACCAAACAAACAATTGAAAGTAAAAGTTAGTGATAAAAATGTTATAACAACAACCAATGCAGAGACGCAATGTTTAACACCTGAAGGATTACAGCATGGAATTGATAAGATTGTATCGCAATATAAAAAGGGGCGATCTTTCATACGGTAATATGAACCAATATATAAAAAAATAATTGCTTATACTTATGACACTAATTATTTATCTGTATTTACAAAAACAATGCTAAATATGTAATTTTCATTTTAGACCATCGGGGACTGAAGACATAGTACGAGTTTATGCAGAGTGTGAAGATACGTGTGATCTTGACAAATTAATTACAGAAGTGGCACTATTAGTATATAAAAAAGCAGGCGGAGTTGGACCCGAACCTTACTGCTCTTAACCAATATTTTTTTATTATATCTAATCAATCTTCCACATTGATTTTAGAATATAATTTTTATGAATTAGCGTAAGAGATTCATATTCCGCTGTTTTTAATATGATGAATATTTCTTTAGCTTTTAATCGGAAACTAACTCTTGCTATGAACTGAAACAATTTTCATGACTGTATTGAAACAGTGTGAAATTTTAATCAATTTTTAATTGAGATGCGAAATCATGTATAAGGGAAATGATATTTAAATTGCAATACTTTTGGAACATGCTTCATCCCATTTTTATAAGACAGTACATACTGTAATATATTAGAATTATATTTTTTATATACAAATTTATATATGTATATATACAAGAAACAAATAAATACATGACTTATTAAAAACCTAGTAAATATGATAGGAGCAAGACGGTACACGTACACGCGTGTATAAAACGACATACATTTTATTAAATTCAATCGTATACAAAAAATCAGAATTATAAAAGTGAACTTCCAGTGTAAAGATATTACAATCATTAGAAATTCCCATTTTTGAAATTTTAATATTTACTTGGAAAAAGTTAAAGCAAACAATCTGCCTAGATTAAAGCCTCTCACGAATTAAGTAGATAAGCCGTTTGTAAGTTACTAATAATTTTCATAGAAGAGTAAAGATATTCAGATCTTTCTCTGTACTAAAATGGAAATAGAAACATTCAATTGCTTAATGAGAAAGCTATGTCATATATTTCAATATCACATCTTACATTCTTAGTTAGAGTTGCTAAAAGATAGACATATTTTTTTCTGCATCTGTTGTTCCTTCAATTTAATTGTGTCGCATATATTTTCGTTGAAGAATAAATCCGCCCTCCTTAGTACAGGAAGAACTTCCTCACGTGATTAGGGACTCACAGTTCCAATCTGAGTTCATCTCATTGTCCAGTGCCACTCGTCATCCTGTTGGTAATCTACCAAAAAAATTGTATTATTTGATGCATAGTAAACCTTCACAGTTTAAATAACAAAAATACATATTCGTTGTGAAGTCTTAAACTATGTAAAAAATTTCTATTCTTCAATGTTTCGTTCGTTCATGTGAAAACTGTATTCGCATTAATTTAATCCTAATTCCATCCCATCTGATTAGAATTTTTAAATGTCAAAGTTGTTCCATGAAATAGTCGTTATGAATTAGCCTGTCTACGGTGTGATATAATTTTGAAGAAATGTCTTCCATCTGTTTAGAGGATCGGCGATTGATTACGAGTGCGTCAGTTACGAAGTATTAAGTCAACTGAACTTAATTAAAACCTAAAAGAAAATGATAATATACGGTTTGACAGGCGCACGTATGTAAAAATGAAGCTGAATAATAATTGTAGTTTAAGTAGATAATCTTATTTTGTTCGCATAGGACATAGGACGATTAGCTGAAAGTCGCTTGAAAAGAAAACTGAGTCGTACGAAATAAATAACATGTGAAACGCAGCGAATTCGTTGAAATTCGATAAAATCCACTATATCCATTACGATTTCAAAACTGAAAACGGAAACGTATCGTAAATCGAAACAAAGAGATCTAATAGACGTTTCCCTTTAAGAGATGGAATTAGAATTAACGCGTGTTAAATGCTAGAAGCACTTCGCCATCGCAGAATCATCGCAACAGTATTTTTTATCACAATCGATGATTGTAGAGACATATTTTTCTCGTAGTCTTTAAAATTTTCAGCGTTCGCAATGTACGTATATGTAAAACGACAAACAGGCATAATGCGCGCGGTGAGCGCAACATTCTGTTTTCAGATATTCTCGTAAATCATTGTAACGTTATAATTATCATGTATTTAATTTTATTCATATTTTGCTTTAACGAGCAAAGGGTAAAGGGCGCACGCGTTGAACATACCTTTAGTTTTAAATTCAAAGCACCGCCAGCTTTGAACGCAAACGCAATTCGTAGACACGTTATCCGCATATCGAAGCTTGCATTATTCACCAGAGTCGCATCTACGGGCCACACGCATAGGTAAGCGACTTGATATCGGTCTCTTCAATAATCGGACGTTGACAATGCCCACCAGGATTAGAGCAGCGCGCTGCGTTAACGCGCGTTTCGTCACACAATTCTAAAGTTTACGCTATCTAAGTATATTGTACAAGTAGATGTAGATTCCAGGCTTCCAATGACGTTCTGCATTTTTCTTTCATATATTACATTCTATAAGACGTCACACAATATTTGTTAATATTTTCGAACATCATTTCATTTAATAAGAATACCTGTTATTATCCGAAAAGTAAAGTGATCCTAAGAACACTGTACGCAATCTCGATTTTCATTCACTTGAATGTTCTCATCATATTAGAACACTCAGTATTAACATACAATCTTTCAGTGTTTTGAAAGAAACAAGCAAGTTAGATTTTGCAATGCAAAACGTCATTCTGATAATGATCATACGTGTGCGTGTCTCGGTTGAACGCGCGCTGGTACCTAGTTGACTCGCCGGAAAAACGAAAAATCTCATAGGTAACGATCACGAGCGAATCACATTTCATTTAATCTTGCGTATAAATCTTTTCAGCGAGCTCCATTATTCAAACAATCAATTAGTCAGCGTCGTAATTCTCGACGGAGAACAGAGAATGTTTTTAATAGAGAATTTTGCTTGAGAAAGCATAAATAGAAGTGCAATAGTATAGACGGTCAAAAGCAAAGGATAAAATAAATTTCTAATTAAATTACTTTCAATACGTCAGATAAGTTAAGAAAGCTTCTATGAATAAGAAGGCACGTGTATGTCTGTGTATAAAGAAACTGCAGTGAGGTGAATGTACTTGAAATCATTCTGCTAAGAGACGTAAAGATACATATACGGTTGAATTTTATTTTTCATTCCGTCGTAGGTACATTGACAACTTCTGCAAACACATTTCCTTGCTTTATTAATGAACATTTAAAACATTATCCAAGTTCTTACGTGTAAAAAAAAGATTATACAGAATTTTTTTGTTTGTTTAATAGCCTAAGTCACCCTCTTTGCTGATGCTATGTATTATAAACTAATATAACAAAAATTCTTTTATCCTAGTAATAATCATGTGACTTAAGATACGTAAAAGATAACTCAACCCACACCGTTTCAAACCCGGGTTGTACTATTACGAGAGAAAAAAACAAAAATTATTTAGGAAAAAAAACTACGAACACAAATCGCACAAAAATAATATATCCACTATTTGCTGAAAAAAAAATGAACGACATATAAAGTCCCTTGAGTCCACGTTTATAATGTTCACGTCGATCTTCTTCTCTTTTCTCTTCAAATAATCGTGGTTGTGTGTGCTTCATTATTTTATTCATTGTGTTGTTCATATTTATCTGCTTCTTATTCTTACCGTACCTTAAGTTAGCGTGTTAAACTTTAGATCTATATATCGTATCTATCATTATACATAGTATCGTATGTAATGGTATGGACTCTGTGTGTCGGACGCAGGGCAGTTCCTAGGTATTCGATTCCGTAAAGCGAATGACCACCACTAAAGAGGCATTTTTTTTTATTTTGTTTTGTTTTTGTTTTAAGGGAGCCTTGCGCATGCGCTTAGATTCGCTTTAGTACGATTTTAGTACCTCGGTGGCATCGCGTCTGCCGGACCTGGGAAGCTAAAAGGTCAAAAAATGAAAAATCGCAGTATTAATTTCTTCATCGCCTTGCGGCGTAACAAGCTGGAAAGTATAAGATGTAACACTGATCTGCGCGAATACGATTCTACGTAGCGAAAATTCAATTATTTTCCATAACGGCAGTGTCTTGCGTTCACACTGTCGTCTGTCAATGTCCAATATCGTCATATCTGTACAGAATATTTCAAAACTGTGTGCTATGACTGTTACAGTTGAATTCTGTGCCTCTGGATCAGTGGAGATCCATTGCAAAAATAAAAATTTGTTTTCTGCAATTATTAGAGTACGACGTAATATAAAATCTTGGAAAGCTAAGGTAACATTAGTTTTACAGGAACTCTTTTTAACAGATTTTCACGGATTCAGAGATGTAGAATCCATTTGTAACAATCATGACATAATTTTGAATCCTGTACGTACGTCTCGATTTTCTTTTCGCAACGCATGTAACACACATTTGCCGAATAACACACAACTTCCAGACCTGGATAAAGCGTACCTTGTTTCTTCCTTTTGATCGGATTATGATTTTCTTTTTATACAATGTATATTTATAACATTCATACATCGCCTCTCTAGTTATTCTTAATTGAAGGTATTTATTTAACGCGTGAAACATATCATTCATCACTAAGAAATAATGATAATAAGATTGCCTTTTAAATAAGTTTTTCCAAATTAAACAAGCTTTCCATTATTGCATCACAAAATTGAGCAAGACAGTAAAAATGTTAAAATAATTTTTGTATTTGGTTCTCTAAAGATGATCATGAGAATTTCAATTTTACGTCCAGGTCTGATTAGTTGTCACATGTTTAAGTTCGTTTTTATCGGCGCATCCAAAACGTTTTTTGCCACAGCCGCAAAATTGTTATCGTCGACGAATATCGGCTTCGAATGCCCCGAATAGTTTTCAGAATTAACGTGCTCGAACATATATGCGAAAATGAAAATTTCTGTATGATCTTGGTGAAAACTTTCTGTTATTTTGCCCGATCACTTGCGGTTGTAAGTATCGGCAAAAGGCGCATTAGGCAAGGTAACGCAACGCAATTTTCGTAAACGGTCAACCCGGGGTTGACTTCTCTTCTCACTGAACGTTTCGAAACGTGCCACGCATTTTCTTTCTTTTTGTATTGCGATATTCTTCCAACACGATAAAAGGAAAGAGACTCGAAAACGTAAACAGATTAAAATCGATGCAGTTTCGTAGCACGAGCAGAAGAATATTGCGTGCCTCTGGAACGTCTCTTCGTATCGAGTACGTGTCGTTTAACGGCGCAGTGTGTCGTAACGCATTACGGTTCTATTTGCCAGCATCTTACCATATTATTCGTTAGATCAATCACAAACATGTCGAATCAAGTAAACGCTGATTCGCAGACTTTTATCGCAGAGTACATAAAAGAAGAGAGGCAGTATTACCGAAAATGAGCTTTTATTGCCTCACCACGTGTACTGTAGTTAAATATTACTTTATAGTTTCCAATTTATCTAGCTTTGGATTAAGTTGATCTGTTCATTTATCATTCAATAGCAATATTTTGTACATTTTTTCATAACAGAAAATTAGCGGCGACTCGATAATTTTTTGCTAATGATACACCACTTGTCGTAGGATGGAAATAAAAAGAAGTTGACATATTCAAGAATATATGTGTATATATATATATGTATATATATAGAGAGAGAATTCTTCTGTTAAAAATTAATTCAAGCATGATCTCGCGGTTTATTTCTTATAATCAGCTATTCAGGGTGACAAAATCACACATTTCGACTAGTACAGTTATTACGCGACTAGTATAAGTGAAAATATTCTCATTATAAATTTCCAATAAATATGAGTAACTTTGACAGGAACTACTTCTCTTCTCTTTTACACTCAACACTAGAAAAGTCGCAGAATGATTTTTCTCGGCAGCAGAGATCAATCTTGTATCGTTGTATGCACAAATATATACGCTTTACACGATCAAGAAATGATTATTATATTCTCGCGCTGAGTGTCACACCTTATACTTTTACAGAAAATGCTTTAGCCTACTTCGATCCGCATAAATACGTGAACACACACTAAGATCAGTGTTTAAACGAACCGAATGACGTTGCGCAAAAAGAGCGTGGTCGCCTGAGTAACGAACAATCTCATTCGCATAAATTAGTTATCGCTCTTCAACGCTGTGTGATCATTGTCACATTTAAAACGCATTTCGTGTAAAAAGTGTAATTTATGAATAATATAACGATAAGAACAGTAAAAGACTTACCGTCCGCCGCCACGTGGTGGACCATATGCGTCTGGTCTGTCGTACCCTTCAGTATAGCTGAAATAGAAATTCAAACTAATTTACACACTCTATATACGACAGAATTCAGTCATAAATTATCAATTTTTATATTGTACATTTTTATGCGTTTATAGAAAACTCAATTATGTAAAAAAAGAGTATAGAATGTAGAATGAAATGATATAATTAGATAGAATTCCGTTACATACTTCTATGATGTAAAAATGAATGAATACGATATTTTAAAGAATATATCATAACAAAGGTTCTATTTACCTTCCACCAACAGGTGGATATCCACCACTGGGAACAGCACTGCCAGGTCTTCTACTGAACATGTCTGCCTGTGGTCCAGGACCAGTACTGTAACTAGGTGCCCCAGTGCTGTAGCTGGGTCCAGTACTCATTGGCCTGTTAAATGGAGGCATATCATTAACAGGGGGACCATCCCTCCTGTCGTAGGCCATCGAAGCTCCCTGACTTACCCCCCCGGGCCCACCCATCATATCCCCAGGCCCGCCCGGATAACCCCTGTCATACACAATTGGGATATGTTAACTTATTTTCACTCTATCCTGCATAATGCACCACGATTTTGCTCAAGCGTAACTGTTGATATATAATGCGATTTGCGCGTCTTCAATTAGTGTAAGCATTACAGGTTAGAATAAAAATGAAGTTCCATTTCATAACTGACGTGTTGAAACCTTGTCTCAAGTATTGCGAAAAATGTGTTCAACAACACTTTACTCAACTACTGAACCTCCCTAAAGCCTTTCTATGAACGTTTCTCCATTCGAAAGCGCACGTTGTGTTACACGTATGTCTCAAAAGTGATGAAACTCAAGCAAAATTGAGGAATTCAGAACAAAATTAATTATCGAACAAACGCTGTTAATGAAAGCACCAATTCAATTTACTGAGTTCCATCACTTTAAATTGCGTATACGATACATGCGTAAATATTTATAAAAAGATATGCCCAAGTATTTAAACTAAATCTAAGGGATTAAAGCAAATAAAATATATTACCAGTGGCTCTCATCATATCCTACATCTGTGTAGCCTGTACCATATCCAGTTGTGGCAACAGCAGCACCGCCGTTTCTCATAGGCCCAGTCGCGGTTCGATCATAATCATTTCTAGCTGTATAATCAACTGTGCGATTTGCACCAAAATTATCTGTACGACCATAATCCATCGGACCCGGTGCGCCACGATTAAAATCACCAGTCATACCACCTCCGACTACTGCAACATACATATACAAGCTACATTAGAATAATACTTCTACCTCATCTTTTATAGTTGTTAATTGCAAAAATAGTTAAAGAAAGACTTTTAGATTTTCATTGTTATTTTATTTTGATAATATTTAAACTACTGATAATAATACCGTCAAAATAATGATAAAGTTGTCTCAGAATGTTTGAAGTAAATATATTCAGAATTTAAATAAGGAACAAAAATATCTATGTATAAAGTATAAAATAGCCTGTAATCAGATGGCATAGAATGGCATACCGAATTTTAACTTAAATATCCTCTTTTAAAAAGAAATAGGTTTAAAACTTGTAAGATTACGAAATCTAGACTGCTGATACACAGTTAAAATTACACATACCACGTACGTAATCTGATTACAAGAATATGAATAGTAGGTGAATAAAAGTCATACTACCATAATTACCGTAATCTGTCCTCGCTCCAAAGTCAGCAGCGCGGCTATAGTCAGTTCGGCCATAGTCAGCTGTCCCGGTTGGTCCGTATCCTCCGACAGCTCCCGTCGCTGGTCCGTATCCTCCTCCCATCCCCTGCGCCGTGGATGTGTAGCCCATAGCCGCGCTTCCAACATTTTGACCATAGGCTCCGCGATCGGTGTATCCAGTCCCAAAGTCAGCCCCACGTCCACTAAAGTCTCCAGCGCCACGATTGTAATCGGTGTACCCCGACGCGACGCCACCTGCAGCAGATCCATCGTAACCAACGAGTTGGATCGGAAGAACTGTAAAGCATGCCGAGATATCCAATTTGTATTTTAGTCTGTATTAAAAAAATTACATATGTATATTATAAATCATACAGATTCTATTTTCTCATTGCGATCAAATGCTTTGTACTAGGCAAACATAAGAATTAAATGTAGAATCTAATAGAAGAAATGTATAATACTTACATTTAATAAAAACACATATTGAATGTAATAATATTTATCAACTCTTCAGCCACGGATCACTGTTTTTACTGTCCCGTGTTAAATCGTCGATTGATTTTACTTTTTATTTGGAATTGTTATGCTTTATACATGCATGTAATACAAAAACTTAGGGAGAATTCAATTCAATATGCAATGTAATAATGACATGAAATTCTTCAAAATTAGTGGTACTTCACTAGGTAGATGCACCTGTGACTGGAGGATCAAGTGTAGGATAGAGCATATTTGTTTAGGAAAACTAACGGTTTTAACTAACAGTTTCCACAACAGGAAGACACAGAATATGATTTTAATTAGCAATGAGAAAATAGTAATAATTTAAAATATGATAGTAAATTTACTTACCTCTTCTATCATTGTATGGTCCCGGACGAGCGTCTCTACCACCGTCTCGTCCTCCCCTACCACCTCTCATTGGTCCACCTCTTCTGTCTCCATCCCTGCGTCCTCCTCCTCCGCCACGTGATTTGCCAGTTGACTGTTCCACATTGATTGTCGCTCCTTTGAAGTTGGAATTGTGAAGTGCTTTGATCGCTGCAGCTGCGTCTTCCTCGCGTGCCATGTGGACAAACCCATACCGATTCATGACATCGCATTCCGTTACCTCACCAAAACGTAAAAATAATTGTCGCAACTCATCGTTGCGACAATTTTCTGGTAACCGACCCACAAATATTTTTGTTTTTCTCTGCAAAATTGAAACGTGCAATTAACAACACTTATCAGCTCTTACGTTTATACATGTATAATTTACGTGATTATAATAATATGTGCATGCATTTACAGATTACCAATTATTAAATAAAATATTTACGTTTGTCTTGTACCTCTAATATCGACCATACTCCTCTTTGAAAAAAGTATGGTGTCTGATTGAGAATTTATCTCGCTCAAAATTTTTGCTATCAAAAATTATATGTAACAATGATAACGTAATGTTATTGAGCTTACGCATAAATTATAATTAAACGCTGACATGATTTCATTTAAATTCGTATATTTATTATATACGATGTATTAAAAAAATAATATAGATGAAAAAAAAATACAAAAACACAATACCTTACGTACCTAAATTCTGCCATTTAACTTATATTAATCATTTATTAGATAATATAAAATAATATTATACATGATAAATAAACGAGATGAGCAAATAATACAAAGTGGATAAGATTTACTATTAGCATTGTTCTTACCGGTTGATTAGATGAAACCATTTTCTGAAAATAAAAAAAATAGTGTCGTTAATTAATACCATACATTTATCATGGTAATCTTCACTATTAAATAATTACATTTAATATCTAAGATTTATATTAGCTAAAGCTAATTTTTCCAATAAATCTTGAACCTTTTAAAATGTCTTGTTCTCTTTAGTACCAATTGTGCATATAGAATAACGATATTCTAAGATAAATGCATTTTGAAAAGCCTGTTAGCAATTATAGTTATGTACGTACATATTAGTCTATTAAAGTCTCCTCTGATGCTATAAAATGATATAAATACACATATAAACTTAGGAACAGAATATCTGGCTACAGAGAGAGTTAATTCCATAGTATCCATGTGAACATGCTTTGTTCATTCTTAAGTTAGATTTATTAATGTCTTTAATACATGTAGTATTATTAATAAGTTTCATAACACGTGCATACGCTAGTGATTCATATTTCTGATTACTTGAATAACTTCCAAATATTAATAATTTATATGTACAATGATACAATTTTAGACAACTTATAAGAGCATCTCTATGTTCAATATTAATAAAGAAATATAATACTTTTCTGGTATCTCTTTAGTAGCATATTTTTATGATAAAACACTTCAGTAATGAAATTTCTGAATTAAAAATGTTAGAACAGGTGTTAAATTCGGCAAAACAATTTTATTTTACTTAATTTTTCATCTAAATATTAAATGAAAAATTCATGAACTTCGAACTATTGGAGATATAAGTGAAATAAAATATTTTTTAAAATCATTGTATTTTTTCCGATAAACATAAAGGACGCTTTATGGGCACTTCAAGGCCATAGAAATTATCAAATTTCATCCATCGTGGAGACAAATAATTCACGTTTTTTGTAAGCAGCAAACGAAATAATTAGCTAACGTACAATAGCTTCTCGCTATACGTTTAACGTTGTATAATTGGATACTCTAGCAATTAGGGAAAACGAAAGAGATATCTAAAAACAACCGGCCCTTGGTTTACCCTACTAGCTAACGATACGCGAAATCCAACGATGTCTGCCGAATTACGTATCGCCCCGAAACGTTCCCGTTTATCAAATATCTATTTTATGACGATAGAATGATACTCACATGTGACTGCGACGTTTTGGCGAAATTAAATTAAAGTAAAAAGAGAAAATTTTCGTGACGCTAACAGCGAAACGAGATGTACGAAATGGCGTCCACAACTTCCACCTTGAATACTTTTTTGACGGAAAGCAAGCAAGAAATTGTTCCGTGCTACGTGTTGCCACTCTCAATACAGTCGACGAAAAAGTCACTAGATTTGAATGTGAAGTCACAACGGTGAGAGTACGTTTTTGTTAAAATTTTGAACTTTTACTATTCTATTATTCAAAACAGTCTACGAACAAGATTGTCTAAGTTAATAAGACTGTCAACAATTGTTAGGTTTGCCGGTTAAAATTAATTGACCGGTACGCGGTGCGGTATTTATATTGAACTCATAAAAACGCACCGTGTTCAAAGATCATGCCGTCGTTGACTAAAACTGACTAGCACCACGAACGGATCACGAATCACGACCACGACCACGATTATGACCAGTTGTTGTCGTCGTTGACGTTGACCTGGTTGACACCTGGTTGACAATTGTTCTTCATTAAGAACTCATTAGGGTCCATGCGAGGAAAATCGAAAGATGAGTTATTTTCCAGATTTCTATCTTAACGCTAGTAAGTACATATTTGCACCTAATTTTGCATTTCTGTTTAAATCTCCTCCAAACGTAGCTTAAACTTGAAATTTTAAATGCCTTTTTAAAATTCAAAATTTTAAGTTTAATAGAAATACAATTAATTCGAAGATGTATTTTCAAAATTGATGCAGTATGGAGCGGAATCGCGTCGATCGGATGGTATTTAGTTGCGGTCGCAATCGCCTTTTGGTATGCATTCCCTTATTTACGAGAAAGATATTCAGCCTGGGTCATAAAAAAGGATGAGCAGGATTACGCAGCAAAATATCATAAAAGTAAAACGACCATTTTATTAATATTTGGATATTGCTACATCGTACTGTACTCGTATAAATATATATTAATTCATCCATCGGTTCATTATTCAGATCCTGATCTTTCATTTATGAAAGAAAGATTGTCAGCTGTGGAAGCTTCGCGACAGAAAATGCAGGAGCAATATGAAAAATGTATATTTGTGCAAAAAGAGGAAGCAGAGGTAAATTATGCGATTTCGTTAGCACTGTACATATGTTGTATCGCACAAACTATGTTCTCGTGTGTTGATTTTTTCTAGAAAAAAAGAAAAGCTAAAGAAACGCAAAGGTTGCACATGGATAACAATTCGTTAGGTAATGTATTAGGACGTAGAGACGATAGTGAAGCTTGTTCATCATCGGGAAATAAAGAGAAATCATTGAAGAAAGGTATAGTATACGTTCGTGGATATGTCCATAATTTATACATGCCTATGTACACGCGATATACTTCGAATGTACAAAACAGCCATCTCAAAAAACTAGCGATCGACCGATGCAACATTCTCGTTAATTTTCATAGAATACAATCCACTGATGGGCGATGGTTCGAGAGGATATCGACCACCCAAACGCTCTTGTTGCGGGAAAGGCGGTTGCGGATAGTTACGACCATGCAAGAGTTCGCGTTTCGATACATTTACGATTTTATATTTACCTAATGATACGATATATTTGATAAAAATAAACGTTAGAAAGAAAAACCGACGAAATCGTATAGCTAAAGGTTTCTTGTCCGGACGTGTTGTTCCTCCCTCTCTTCGATCGTCCGTTAAGTGTAGATTCGAACCGAACATACATCTTCTAACTAGAATCGTAAATGTAGAACTAGTCGTAAAAGGTACGGTAAATGGTCAAAATTTCAATACCGTTCGTTTCTTCGTTTTACTTTTTTTTGCTTTTTTCCTTTTTATTAATAATCGTTACTCATCGTATATCATGTAACGCTCTTGTATATCGTCTTATACGCATACGTGTAGTACTTGACAGTAAGTAATTATTATTACTTTTTAATTTATGTATCTACATTTGTGCGCGAGCGTTCGCCCGTACTCATATACATACATTATTACTATTTAATCCGCATACGCATCGATTCATCTACTCATCATTACTTTACTTTTCGATAACGCGTTCAAATCAGACACGATCGTTTGTTTCGTAATAAATAAGTTATTGCCTACGAAAATGCTTACGAACGAACGATTTCTGTTACCCGCTAATCCTCCTGCTCCTGTCTCTCTTTCTGCGCGCACTCGTTATTTACAAAACGCAAAGAAGATTTAAGCTAACTAACTCTCATCAGCCTTGGCATTTAAATTTAGCCTTAAACTCTAAAAGATTCGTACAAGTAACGTTAAAACTTACCGAATCGCACTGATCGGAACATTTTTATTCAGCGTTGGCGGATCGTTCGATCCGAACGGTATTTGAATGATATGACGATGAATGGCGAGTCGCGACATCAAAATTTTCTTCATTCCACGCTCTCTTTCTCTTTCTCTCTGACGACGAACACACACAAACACACACAAACACTAATCGCTCGATCGCGGTTTCGGATTCGCGATCTTTCTCGGTAATTAGACTATTGGCAGTGATCGGTCGATCGAAAAATCGGTTGAAATCACTCGTGAAAGCTTCTTTAAACTTATTCTCCCTCTTTGAGATTCGTTTATGTACGCACGCACATATACGTATTTTCATACGTAAGCCGTAACGTTCATACATAATTATTCGTACACACCATGGTACTCTCTATGCACGAATCAAATTCGACACGATTAAACTGTAAATTCGATTTAGGTTTTCGCGAACGGAAATGTTTGTTGCGTATGACGGTACATATGTAATATGTAGTATATGCATTCCGATGTTTCTTGTTGCATTTCGTGTTTAATATCGTGGTTTGCCGCCGTCGCCGGCACAGCCGCGGTGTCGTATTCGTAATCAGAGATCGAACGGAGATGCAACGAATGCGAGAACGAGCGTACTGCAAATCGGAGTTTAGAAATTACGCGAGCGCGATGTACTCGCAAGGTGAAAGCGACGAGTCTCCAGGAACGTAAAACGCGAATGTGGAAAAAACTTCAAATCAACGATCAAGCTCTTTCGACAGGAAGGAATACGCGAATCGCGACCTATATACGTATCTTTCGTTCGACTCGAAGCGATCGCGCGTAACACGACATGTGTATATGTATATGTACATACGATCGGAGTTTGAAGCGAACCATCGTAACAATCGCGCGATCGTGAGAAACTAGAAAAATAACGTCATTACATACTCGTTTTCTTCGCTGATTGATAGGATGGTTCAGCACACGGTACACTGCACACGGCGAACGATCAATTACTCGCTGCGACCTTCTATCTCGTTCTTGATGGAAGGGACGTCGCGAGTTATTGAGTTTCGGCACAATATTATTTTTTAAACGACTATTAAAACTGTAATCGATACTAGTTTCCCTATCGTCGTGGAAAACTTTAAATGCCAGTTTATGTACACTTTCGAACGTGCTTCTTCCTCGTCTTTCCCATCTTATTCTTATTTTTATTCTTAGCCTTACGAGGAATCTAGATTCTTATGGAACGATCATTTATCAATCGTTATAAGTCCGATCATGTTTGGCAAACTCGGAGCGTACACACACACACAGTCGAAACTGAACAGACTATCTGTCCAACAACGAGAACACGATGAATAATTAAAATATACGTTCTACGCGACTATATTCGTCCAATTTCAATTTAGATATTTTATCCCTACGCGTAAACGTGCTACAAAAACGAATCCTCTTCCTTCTTCGTCGTCTTCTTCTTTTCTTATTTTTATTTCACTCTCATTCTTTTCGTTAATCGTACTCTCCGTTAGTTCGGTTTTTGGTTTCGGTCCGGATGGATGATCGTTCTTGTATTTACACGAGTTACGAAACGATTTCGATCAATTCACGTTCGTTAACTTTTCTTCTTTATGTGACGCTGTTTTACTCATCTCGAATCACATCGCGACGGCAGTAGTGTTGTTCGGCAGTGTTTCGTCGGCAGTGTGCGGTCGGTCGTGTTTCGGCGTCTATCCGTTATCGTTTCTCGTTTATTTTAGATCAATTTAAATCGCGAGACGCGACATCGTTCTCTTTTCTCCTTCTTTTACCGGCTCCTCCTTAAACCTAAAAGTAAACTTAAGCTCAAACTTAAATTCGTGGAAATAAATGCTAAGCGTCGGGAGAAATTTGAGCGATTCCAACGAGCGATCCGAGTAGCTAACTCTGTATATACTTATATGTCCGTATGCATGTACTTACATACTGTTGCGCGTTCGTACCGCGTAACTGTTTCACGTACGCTCGTACGTAGGTCGACGAATCCTCGCACTTTTCGTCGTCTACAGTCTACGTTTAGGTTTCGATGCAAGGATTCGTCCTTATCGTTTAGGAACGTTATCGCATCGAAAAATAACAGGAAAACGTAACGCGGAACTTGGACTTGACGAAATATACGATGTCCGTAATGTACAAATGGCACCGTGTCGCGTCGGTCAAGCGTGTCATCGTTCATCGTTATCATATCGGCGATCGACCATCGTTAATCGGCACCGCATTCGTGCTTGAGCAAAGGAAGAGAAGTCGGATTATGGGCAAGCGATTTCGCGCTAGACTTGATTCAACAACGTAGAAGCGCGATGGTCGAAGGAGCAGGGAACAGCAGCAGAGGAGAGGAGAGAAGAGGAAATAGTAAACTACGTGGTACGTCGTTGAGTGCAATTCGAAAATCTCGAGCAGCAATAAACTTTATCGCGTATGCGCGGAATGGATCATGGTCGATCTTCGTGTTCGTAAAGGTACTTTAAAAACGTTGACGATATCGTCGCGCGTACACCGATGGTACTCGATTCGTTGCGATCGAAGTAAAACTCGTCGCCGAGTTCGTGATCGGATTGTAAATCCAGCAGGTTTCATCGGGTCGATTTTGTATATCCTGTTAATACTAGCCATCGCGGAGATCGGTCGGTGGACCGCATTCCGTAGGTGCTACACCTCCGTTTCCACTACTGCCGCTGCCGCCAACGAAAAGGTTGTTCAACTTGTTGTACCTTTGACTACCCGAACTGCTGACCGTGTTCGAACACGAGGAATTGTGCTGAGCGTTGCCTGAGGCGCCGATTCTTGAAAAACCAGCCACTTTGTCTGAAAGAAACGAAGATCGAATGTGAATGTCGTCGAATTGCACGGATGGTGAAGGAAGAAGGATGAGTGTACGATACCTGTTGCACCTTTCCCACGGTTGTGCCTCCTCTCTTGCGAACTCACGCTTCCGGATTGCCTCGGTGGAAGGCAAGAGTAATTACTTTCGCTGCTGCTATACGTGGGCGATACGGTTCTGACGTTTCTTCTACGCGGACTCCTGCCATTTCGATTCCGAAAACTCGCCGTCGTCGTCGTCTTGCCGTGAAGACAATTCGCGAACTGATCGTTCGCGTACTGCTCGATAGTGTTCCCGTACAGACAACTGGACTCGGAACAGGAACAACAGATATCCGAGTGCGCGTTCGAATCGCACGACTTCCTATCCCATTCGTCGTTCTCGGGTTGATAGACGGAGCAGTTCTGAAGTTCGTTTCGCCGATAAATCTCTTCGTTTCCCGATCCGAACGATCGTTCCGATCGTCGAGAATCCGTTCGATTCGCATGCCTATACGCGGAATCGTAATCGTCTAGCGGCGATGAATTTCGCTGACCGTACAGGAGAGAACCACTCTCGTATTCGTTCTCTCGATTATCCTTGTACGAATCATAGCAATCGAATGCTTGCGGGAAGACGGGCAGCGAAGGTGGATTCGTTTGCGGCGGCAAGCTGGTATATCTGCTTTGCTGGTGACCGCTGTTGTTCTGTTCCGTTCTTGGGCTATCGAAAGATTGGGACTGAGATTGTTGTTGGATCTGGCCGGTCGGACCATTCCACCCGATATTCGATCCTCCTAGATTGTTCGTTGTTCCCCTGATTGGAGGACTCGGCGGACTTTGAGAATTCCTCGATCCAGATCCGGAACACACGGATCTCCCGCAGTCACCACTACCGCCGCCACCCGAATTCGAACTCGAACTCAGACCTAATCCCAGAGCTAATCCGGAACCAGCTATCACATCCAGATCGTTTTGTCTCTCGATGCTTCTCTTCCCAAGATGAGGGCTGAATGCTGTTTGATGTTGCTGTTGTTGCTGCTGTTGTTGTTGCTGCTGCTGCTGCTGATAATGTGGATGGGGCTGGTGCGATTGATGCTGTTGCTGATACTGATGCGGCTGAATCGGATACGCGGGATGGTGATGGTGATGATATGGGTGCTGATGCGCGTGCGAATGCGTTCGGGAATGGGAAGAACCGAGGGATACCTCGAACGAGGGTGGATGTTCTGGCGGAGGTGGTAGCATGTCGCACCAATTCGGAGGTTGGTTCTCGTTCGGCAGCGGCATCCTGTATTGCGGGTGCATTCTTCTTTGCGCTTCCATCGCCGAGTTATCGTCGGCATTGTAAACGCTGCTCGCGTTGTCGCTACTCGGAGAGACGGTCGATTTGTTTCGATCCAAATTTGAATCCAAACTCGAATAGTCTGGTTTCAAGCAGGAATCGCTCGAATTCGACTTACGGCCAGTGGTCTCTATCGAATCCGGGCTACGAGCCGGCATGCAAAGCGTCGTCGTTGCGTACGGTTCTGGCGGCGCCTGCTGCATCTGCTGTTTACGAGTATTATAAAACGTGGTTAGATTGACCTCGGCATACTCCGATCCGGCCATCCCGACGATTCCAGGCGGTAGCCCAATCTGATTTTGATTGCTCAACAGCTTCGTCTCACAATCTTTGTCAGTCGACGAAGCCTGAAGCGTGTTGTTCGTCGGTCTCCAACCCCGCTCTAGCCACAGAGTATCCTTATTCAATTGACAAATATCGTTCGCCGTACCGACAGGAACGTTCAAATGGCCGAGCTGTTTGCTCATTGCTTGTCTCCGTCGAACATAAACTGCGGCCAGGAGAGCCGCGATAACAGTTAACACGACCGTTATCATTAGAATAAGGAACCAGGTTTCACCGACGACGGACGCGTTCCTTTGACTCGGATCCGTTCGCGGTGGTAGCTGCGTTAGTTGTCCCGGATCCATGTTCAACACGGTCGGCTCGGAAAAGGGTCCGATTCCTACCCGAGTCAATCCGGCTACGCGCGCGGTATACGATCCACCACTCGTTAAGCTGTTGATGATCACCGATGTAGTCGACGCGTTCAATGACATTTGACCGAGAACCTTGTTGCTACTGTTGCTCTTGATTTGGATCTGAACGGATGAAATTATTGCGAATTATAATAGATACCGCCGTGTATCGTGCTACGTACGATAATAACGGGACGCAGTTACACCTTACCTTGTATCCTATCAATTGTCCATTTTGTGTGCTCTTTGGGGGCGGGGACCAACTGACGAACGCCGAGGTAACGTTTATCATACCAACGTGGACGTTTTCAGGTGCATCGGAGGGTACATCTTCCAGTGTCGTTGCCAGATACACGTTACTTGGCCTACCTTCGATGGTCTTGTAAAAGGGTACTAGGAAAAACTCGTAGCGCGTATATTTGTTCAGATTAGTTAGGACGTAACTGGTCGCGCCGGCATTCATCACCGTAACCATTTGATACTCTGGTTTATCGGACACTTCTCGATACCTTATGTACAAGCCTTCGACCAAATCCGCAGCTCCGAGTATCTATGTCCAAGAAAGGAGAAGAAAATTAACGCAATGCGATCATGACGCTAATTTAGCTTCGCCAGTTCGGTTCGCGTGAGATTCGAAATTATGAGTACACCTGGTCACTTACATCCCACACGATCTTCACGCTAGTGCTGCTCAACGGTTGAACATCTTTCAAATAAAGTATGTCGTTATTGAGACGATCTCTCGCTCGAATCAATTCAGTCTGCGGGATCGCGTGCCGCTGATCGAGATTGGTCGTCCGTGCAACGTCCGAAAAGGGGCCAGGAGCGGATAGACCGTAACCATTTCGGGACCGAACAACGAACACGTAACTCGTATCTGGCTTCAAGTTCGTTACCTGCAGAGAAGAAAAAAGTGCTGTCATCGAAACTGCATAGTATACATAATTACTAATTACCTGATAAATATGCCGGCGTGGTGTACTTACCGTATAGATATCGTTCGTGATTCCTGTCCCCGCAACAATCCAACCGGTCTTCGGATTCGTAGCAAAATACTCGACAGTGTAATCGATTATCTTGCTCGCTACGCCTTCCTGATATCCCGGACTCCACGTGAGCGTGACCGCGTCGCTGGTTGCGTTCACTATTCTCGGCTTACTCGGACTCGCAGGAAGCAGCGATAGGTCCGGGTAACCGCCGCCGCTAGCTCCGCGATAACTAGTACCCGATCCCGTTCCCGCCGACGGGCTAACCGTCAAACTGGCGGTCCACGAGGTGTTGCCCGACTCGGAGGATGCGACGCACTTGTACATGCCTGTATCGGCCAACTGAACATTTTTTATGGTCAGAGTTCCGTTCATCGCGATCAAGAATCGATCTTCTCCGGTGCTGGTGGATCGTCGGCGCAGCGGCAACTGCTCGTCGTTCTTGTACCATCGGATCTTCGGTGCGGGTCTTCCGAAAGCACGGCACGGCATGTAAACGTCTCGTTTAGGGAGCGAAGTTTGATTCATCGCTCCTACTTCTATTATGGGCGGTGGAGCTTCTTCGATCGACGTAACCTGAATCGATCAATGTTCAAATATTACTCGACTGCTATCAGTTGCTTTTCAAATGTGAAATCGGAACGTGTTGTGTAGCAGATGTAGAGATTCGTCGCATGTTTACCTGAAGAAAAACCGTCGCCGTACTAGCCCCGGCTTGACTGATCGCGCTGCAGACGTAATGACCCTCGTCCTTCCCGAGGACTCCTCTGATCTGCAAACTTCCGTCTTCGACGATTTTGTATCGACCTTGATACTCGTTTCCGGGGAACATCAATTCCTGGGAGCCTTCGCGCGTCCAAAAGATTGAAGGTTTCGGCGCACCACGCGCCGCACAAGAAAACGATACGTTCGAACCGACGCCGACTATCTCGTCCTTTGGAAAACTGGTGAACACGGGCCTTGCTGAAAATAAAAAATCGAACCATTTAGTAAAATGGTAGTAAATAAGAAAGATAGCAGCGCGTAGCGGTAGATAGCCGGGTTTCACACTTACAATGTACGGTCAAAGTCGCGCTCGCGGATATAGCACCAACGCCGTTCTCGGCATCGCAAATGTAAGTGCCTTGGTCCTGTGGCGTCACCCTTTCGATTCGCAGACTCTTGTCATCCAAGATGTGCGCTCGACCTATCGGCATCTTTCCGTCGTTCCGACGCCAGAGGATCTCGGGTGTAGGATCACCGCCCACGCGGCACGCAAATTCGGCCGTTTGCTCCGACAGGACGGTTTGGTTCGCGGGAGTCGACAGAAAGAACGGTTTCACTAAAAATAAAACGGAGACGAAAACGAAAATTAATATATACAAATATACGCTACAGTAGCAGCATATCTACGTGTCCAGTTACCGTGAACTGTAAGCGTTGCAACTGCAGACTCTTTCACGCCAACCATATTCTCGGCGAAGCATTGATACTTTCCCTGGTCCGTTTGCCGGACATCCGAAATCATCAAATTTCCTCCATCCACCAAAGTGATACTGTCAACAGACGATTATAAGGGCGATGTGTATACGCGAGACAAACTCGAAAGGAAAGCGTAGTCAGATGCTTCGAAGCCTACCGAACAACGCTTACCTGTGCTATTCAAGGATCGCCGCACACGTGCACGCGCGTATTACGATTTACGAGTATGCGGTACTACGTAGCCTACAAGTACACGTTACGTACGCACATTCGCAATGGACGCGTACCTTGCGCGTACCCACATATATTATACATCGTGACTATGCCAATCGAGGGAACGTAAATCGAGAGACACATAGGAAACTTATAGAAACAAACGTATAACGCATATAGCATACCGTTTAGAACCATCCAAATCAATCGGGTGTCCATTCTTCCTCCAGTGCAACGTGGGCTCCGGATGGCCCCTGGGTGGTCCACACTCCAGCAAAGCGGTCTCTCCGGCTGCGACTCTTGTATTTTGTGGTTCTGCTCGAAATTCGTCCCTCAGCACTGCAACGATAAAATCAAATCAGATCTGAACGCTCTCTTGCCAATCGTCACTTTATTACGAATGATCATGTCAAGTACAGAACTATCGTTATATCCAAAACGAGCAGATCGATCGATTGGACGTTCGCAGATCTCGCAGGAATGAATGATGCAATTGCAGAACTCCTTCGTTCTTTTCCCTTAAACGTTTTGATAAGATGAGTCACGCGACATCTTACATATATGTATTACATATGCATGTATTAAATCGGAGACGATAATGACACGATTAAAGCCAAGCTCCGCTATGCTCTGTCTGTTTATCGTTAGCGGCTGACAGAGTCCTATAGTTGTATTCGTGCAATACAATTTGAACAGTTTTCATCTACTCGTTAACGCCTCGTCTACCGCCCCCTTCTGCCTGTTTCATTTTCGCTTCTATTTCCTTTCCCGTTTCGAAACGCTTACGGCGCGGCGCGGGACCAAAACGGCCTTATCACTATACAAAGGGGTCAAGACAGGAAATTGTTCTCTTCCCAGGATACGGTGACGCGCGCGCTGGCGATACGTATGAGGCGTGTCGCGAATGAAGAGCGACGGCCGATGCTGGCAAGTCGGACGAATAGGTAAAGCTTGATTCGGGGTCCGAGTCGAAACAAAGAACTACGCGTGTGTAGTACGCGATGGTAATGGGAGGCAAAGGACGATAGGGGGAAAAAGACGAGTTGGTAAAAGTACCGACACGGAGAGAGAAGGGAGGAGGGAGTAGGAAGAGAAAAGAACGAAGGGTGAAGTTGGTGCGTATAGTCAAACAACCTCCAATTAACGGACGCTAGATCTGGAGCGAAAGAATTGAAGGGTTCTTGGATCTCCCGTCTCTCACCGTCGTCGTCTCGCTCGTGACGCATTTTTTCTATTCTCACCCTTGCCGGTCATACCAGTATATACAACCCCTTAGGCTTTTTTCGCGAGCCGCAGGAGCCAACTAGTACTAATGAGAGACCCGCTGCTCCCCGTTGCCTGTTTCCCGTTTCTCGTTTCCTACACGCGTTCCACCTAGACGCGTGTGTACTTAACGCGTGCACGGCTCGAGTACGGAGGAGGCGAACCGTACCGGCGCTATCGGAATCGCCCGCTTCGCACCGTTTATTATCAAAAAACCGCGAAGATCTCGTTATAAAAGTGACGAACGATCGGAATCGTTGTAACACTGCAGCGTCGCGCCATGCAGCACGCGTTCAAAATATCGTTGTTAGCTTATTCGAAACGAGAAAAGTTTTGGTCGAACGTCGGTTTTGTTACCGTATTTGGATATACGTAATTAACATAATGGCGAAAGGACCGAGGAGGCTAGAAAGGGCGAGAAAGAAGCAAAGAACCGGGTCTGGGTAGCGGGCCGGCGATACCCGAGCAAGTACATAAGTACACATGGAAGGGATATTCGTTTGGTAGGTAAGCTAAGAACGCATTCAATGCAAATGGGCTATCAAGGGCCATCTTGGTATGGGTATGCGCACGTTAGCATGTTGCGCGACTCGGTTCGCTCGATTATATACATACATATATGCATGTACGTCGTACGTATGTACTAACACGTACGCGTGCACGTACTTGTACTTTAAGTATGGACAAGTATGCATGCACGTATGCGTTGCCGAGAGCCGAGGCCCGAGACCCGAGACGAGAGTTTCTCGAAAGGTGACCGCGCGCGGTTCCTCTACTCGGTCTACTCTATAATCTATACTCTATACGGATACACGTACGGACGGTATGTCCGTATACGGATAGTTGATCGCGAATCCATATACATAGGTAGGCGTAAGTAGGCGCGTTTACTTACTCGCCGTAGCCGTTCTACTCACCCACCGGTGCACCGAATATTATTTTTCAACGAACCAGCCAACTATTTTTCAAGTCCTGCATTTTGGTAACTCCACTTTTAGTTTCGTTGACGACGGATTAAAGATCTCACCATTTGGAAATTTATCAGAAGAAATAACGATCAAGTATGCGCAAAGATCACAGACGTGAGGAAATATTGATAAATACCGTGAAAGTGAGCGAATCTCTCTGCTCGTTAAATACACGCATAGTTGTAACATAAATCTTCTAGTCTCTAGTCAGCGAAATTTAGAGACAAGTGAACGTATAAAGCGGAGAACTATTATTCCCGTTACAGCATCTATAACAGTTTTGTCTAATTAAGGATGTATTGGCTATACAGTCAATCCCAAAAGTTTATGTACCTTAGAAAAACGCATTTCCTATAATTAAAAATAGTGCACTGTTCTTCTAATTTCGATATTTAATGAGTTACATATGAT